CTCCGACCTCTCAGTCGTCCAGCCCTTAGCCAGTCGCTATACAGACTACGCCACGCCGGCTGTTTTAAATAGATTCAGAAATCTGCATTCATATAGTATCTTACTTAAATATGTTAAGAAAGCTTACACGCGCATAACCCTTTTTTTGTCAAATAGGTTATATACGCTTCCATTCGCATAATGGCTGACTTAAGCAGGTTAAGAACACTTTCTTTCGCATGTTATTTTGCTTAAAATTCGCAGGCAACCTAACGGCGAATACCGATGTGAAGCAGTATACGTAGTTGGAGTCCTAGGTTTTAGGGGGCCCATACACGTTCGAGTCTGGCTCTCGAGACCGAATGGGCTCGGTTTCCAATGAGCCAAACTCATCCGTATGTGGAGAAATTAATCCGAACCCGGCTTCTCGCCGAGCCGGACTCGTACGTGTATGAGCCGCTTTAGTCTTAACTTCAAAATGTCCTGGTTTCGATCAAAATTATGGCCATAAACCTTAGAACAAAAGATGAATACAAGATCTCTCAGCATAATGACAGCCATTTATGTGGCCGGGAGTACACCAATTCCCAACATGCCCTGTATATCAAATATTCATCAGATCTTTCAAACACGTACATAGGCACCCGAGTCTAAAGGCTTTCTTTTCTCGTCAGTCCAACAACTCGGATTAATTTGAGCCAATAGAATAAAACATCTTCACAGTTGTTCACCGTGGCGAGTGCACTTCATTCAGAAATGAAGCAGTTGAAAGAATGTCATAGGTTCCATTCGATAGGCTGCAGGCGTTGATTGCTCTCAGTAGGCCTATAAATAAAAGTTTAATATCGGTAAGCATAAGCCTGACATTCCTCTATTAAAACCGGAAGGAACAAGCCGTACATTTCTCTGAAACAACTTTGACATATGCCATACACTGAATAGACAAACTTACGGGAAAATAAAGCCTGTGTTCAACGAGACCTCTGGCATGGCGAGTAAAGTTATCAATGCGTCTTGAAGATAGAACCTGGTTAACGTTAGACTGACGACGTAACAATCTAAATCACTGTCACATGACGTTGCACCTCAGCACTTTTTGGATTCCTGAGCCATTACCTTCAGCATTTAATAATGTTTTTAATTCTAATAATTAGTCTGTTTACAAATATGGTTAGAAAACTTCCTTAAAATCTAGAACCAATTTGGTTCGTGTCCTTTATGCTTCTTCTGTTGCTGATAATATTTTATATTATTGATAATAGTAAGTGATAAAAGTTGATAATCCTTTATACTATTGCTAGTCTGACGGACCAGGTTGAACCAAATCAAATTGTACAACGGTGCCACAGGATTTTGAGCTATACATTGAACAATGGGTACCTCATTTCAGGTAGTTCTCTTTTTGTAAATTCAGTAAGTAATAAAGAAAGTTCTAGCTTATTTTAGTGTACATTGCACTTACGAGCTGAATGACTTTTGAGCCATTCCCTATATCCAGCTGAACGTAACTTTTCTTTCAGTCCTAACCATTTCAAACCAGGGGTGTATGAAGTTTCTTATTGTGCAGTAAGTTCGGTTTCCCCGTAACTATTGTATAAACATGTTCCTTAGTACGTAGGCACACTTCGAAGTTTATGCATTTCTGTACCGTCTGTCGGACTTGTTCCGAATCCTTGACTGTAGCACACGTGGTGCAGAATAGGACTCGCTCCGTTCTTCTATCTCCCGCAACTAAAATCAGAATACAGGAATAGCCTCCGAAAACGAAAGACAAGCTCTGCATGGATGGGGGTTGAGGGCTGTTGAAAATCAAACACAGGTCTCTGTTAGTGCATGTGTAGTAAATATAGACGAGCATCTGGACTTCATATCCTGATCTCAGTAAAGGGAGAAAACAGAAAGCAGCTGTTTTCAAGAAAACGAATGACAAAATACAATTAGAGTATAGGCACACTACTAACATGCTGAATGTAAAATCGTTAGGTTGTGTTGTGACGTCCATTGACATGTCACCGAACTCATTATTATATAAAAACGACAGCCGTTGCTTGTGACTATTTCGCTTGAATCTATTGTTATGAAAAAATCCCGACATTATGACTTGGCGGAGAATTTCGACATTACTTTTGTGGATTATGTTCTGAAATCTTATTTCCTATATTAAATTCAAAGCAGTTTTCCCCGGTTTGTCGAAGAAAAACTGAAATATTTATATATATCTAAGACGTAACCTTCATTAAATGCAGATATGTCCGTACAGGAAAATGATTCTGATCCTAAGACTAAAGTAGAAAAAAAGGTAACGTTGTCCCGGTGCTGCCAAGCATGAAATGGAAGTATAGCTCCGCCATTTTTGACCTCAACACTAGATGGTGGTGAGTGAGTATTAAGCTGCACATCCCAGCCGCTTTGCCCCCCGGGAAAGAGCCCCCTGTACCCATTGCACAAGAGGCTGAATGGATCCCAAAAGTGGTCTGTACACTGTGCAGAAAATAAAGGTCCCTGCTTTCGCAGGAAATCGAACCCCCGCCATCCAGCCCATAGTGCAGTGCTCCGTATTATAAAATTACTTGCTTAAATTGAAACTACTTAGGACAGCGACGAAATGAGACATATAAAACAATTGGAAGGAATATAATCTGCTCCAGCATTCAATGTTTCCGCTGTGATTTCCTTCCGGGTGTTTATCTGAGCAGGAACATTCATGTTACAGTTCGGAAATAATTAAGCCTGATTGTCAACAAAAGATGTGCAGAATAATTTACTACATTGTGCCTCCTAGGAGACGAGAGGAAGACATTGAAAATGCGTATTACTCAGTAACTGTACCGTGAAGGCCACACTCTGAAAAACTGAATCGGTATATTCCTGCGACGCGTCCGTAACCACACGATCTCATGATCCAAAAGTACACAAAATAAATCTTTACCGGCGTGGAAACCTCATATCTCATACATGAGAAACTCGTCCCTAGTTCAACCCAAGAAGAATTCGAAAGAAAGCTAGCACGAATCCGCTCATGCCCGCCCCCCTAGCCCTGGGCCTCTTTATGTAAGGATTTACTGTCCTGCTTGTGGGAAGTGTACGCTGAAGAATTGTCATCGCTCCGGGTAGATTTGGTTAGCAGAACAGGCGAATGGATGAAAGCCTAGCTTACATTCACAAGAGAGGTGCTTTTCAATATCTGTTGATGGTGGCCATCTTGGCTAAGGTATTTCATGGTTTCCTCAATCACTCCATTCGAACGCCATGGTAGTCACAAGATCCTGACAGTGCTAAGAGCCAAAAATCCGGTAAGTTTTTCCGAAATTACTAAAATTTTCAAATAAGTCACATCATTATATATTTATTTATTTATTTATATCCACGAAATCATAGTCTTGCCATAATTTTCATTACTTAATTGACCTACACTGATGTTTGATTCCTGCAATAACACTAGCAATCATTATGTATGTATAAGACTGACGGCTGCATTGTGAGTAACGAGGGATGTACAAGAGGACCGTCTTGTGTTCTTAGCTGTATCGCATAAGGGACACCAAACGCTGTGTATCTGCTCTGTTTTGTATCACTTAACAAACGTTATGATTTGTGTATCAGTGCTTTAAACTATTTGCAAGAAAACAGCCATTGACTATCTAAGATATAGTTTCTGCATTCCCCCTGAGAACATGGGGAACACCATGAACACTTCAGTTAGAATGACGGTTTCTCAGTCCACATTCAAATCCGAAACTGCCTGAATACAATGCAGTTGCCTCGTCACCGAACTGCCGACCTAATATTAGAGTCTCCTTTATGATATTCACAGATCATATCAAACACGGTGATTGGTGTTTAGTTCGCAGGTTATGTACCGACACTACATAAAACCCGATGCGACGTTCTTTCCTTATTTTCTTTATTCAGTGACACTGTATCAGCTACCAGGTTGTGTAGTAGTGTATCCTGGCATTCGCTTGTAAAAAGTGAAGCACGCCACGAAAATTGTATGAGGAAAATCTGTACTCTGATTTGATTCGAACCGGGAACCTCTCCAGCTCGAGTCGGATCGTATTATCCTTTATCTTTTCGTTCCAAGAAGTGAGGTCGCTTCGAATAGAATTAAAACAATTATGAAAGATGAATACGGATAGTGAAGCGGGAAGTTGCAGTGACGTATTTTTACTGAAGTGGATATGCATTAGAACAAGTTCTGTTACTAGAAGTAGCAGGCCCTTTTTTTATTTTTATTTTATTTTTTTTTTATAAGGCGCACCCAGCCCCTATTCTGTGAGTTATGAGATTCCGCTTCGAGAGTAAAGCGGCCGGAGCGTGAAACTGACTATGCGTTCCTGTGTAGTCAAGAGGGTAAGAATGCATGAAACTTTATTTCCTCCCCTAAAGTCTCCATAGTGTCTTTTTTATTTACTTTCGTCTGAAGAGGGTGGGAAAGCCACAGAATTCATCATTCTAAAATACCTACCTGGATCAGACTTAAGAGTTAAGTATTCTTAAGCCGTACCATAGCTCAGGTGGTTAGTCGCTGGGTTCCCACCGCGGCGTACCGGGTTCGAGCTCTTGTCATGTCATGTGTGATTTGTGGTGGACAAAGTGGCGCTGGAACAAATTTTCTCCGAATACTTCGGTTTCCCTAGTCAATCTTCATTCCACCAATTGCTTCACAGTCATCTTTATCCATCATATGGGGCTGGTACAATAGGCTAGAAGTGGCCGCAGCACCAAGTAGACTCACTCTCACCCCACCAAGAATAATAAAAAAAAACGTATTCATACGTACAGACGAGATACGATATAGTGACACTTGTTTATTCTGTGAGAGAGAATTATACAATGACTAGTATACAAGCACGGTAGGGTCTCGCAATACGAAGTGATCATAATTTCAAGCTTTGGCAACCTTGCAGTCGTTGGCAGCAGCGGCCGCAAGCTGCACATAGTTTTCCTACCCCTGTCATATGAAAATGTAAAGAAAGGCTACATTCATAGGCGACATTCCTCCGAGAGCAGGCTTTCTCCTAAGATCCATCAAGCGACAGCCGCTCTGGAACGTGAAGGAAGGTCTGTATGTGCAGCAACGGATGGTTCAACTGCTTCTCGGCAGCTGCTAGCAGCGAGAGACCCCATCAGAAACTGGTCTGCCAAGCAAGCGACCACGTCACAAACATGCGGGACCAGTAACCAACGATGCAAGCCACAAACCGTCAGTTGAAACATTCCAGCCGCACGACCTAGTCGGACATTTAGCGAGAACCGAAGTAAATCGGCGTGGATCTATTTATTGTGAAATATAATCGGTGCTACTGTAGTATAAGGTGTGTGTCTTTCGTAATGTGTAATTAGTTATTGCCTGCAACGAGAAATTTAGTAAGAACATGCTATATAAATTAGTGAGTTTTATATGTATGTTGTTACGTCGCTTGAATATTTGTGGTGCATAAAAGTATGCCGTGTAATGTAACAGACTAGTCCGTAATTGTTAACGGGCACCCTGAAAATATAACGGTGAAGGGAAATCCGTAATTGATCTTCTTCACTAGCAAGTGTATCAAACAAGTTCGGGCAAGCTCGGGTTTAGTTTATCTGTTCCCTGTTTTCGTTCAAGTGTCTTATTCGACCTTCCTAAGCCGATATTAAATTCAGTGATTCATCACCACTCCAGTGAAGTAGACCTACCAGTAACTTAACTTACAGTAACTATAGGTCTATGTATACAGGTTAGATGTGCCCCACCAGTTTCGTGTATGCGAGTGCGAAAACCTACAAGTTAGTAAATCCATTTTCTCTGTGATGTCGCGTTTGCATGTGTGGGTGCACCGTGTATTGAGTTGGTTGCAACTTTCGTTAGTAATAATGCCAGTCTGTGCAGTGTGTACCATTAGAACCCTGTGAGGTTGTGGTGAGTGTGGCGTATGTACAAGCAGGTCAACAATTACATTGAAGAGCAACCCACCAGCGTCATCCGTTAATGAGTCTTATATCAAAGGACAGCAGCCACTAGAGTATCCGTGTTTGCACAACTTCCTTCAGATAGTGTGTCTGTTCGAAATTACAATGTGCTTGGTAGAGAAAGTTTGAATCCATACAGAATTTTTTATATTCGCAAAATATCGAATAATTCTTTTATTATTAAAATAAAATAAGACAGTGTTTGACTACAGTTACAAAGCTGAATACGTAATGTTTCTTTAACCATATGATTTCTATTTCATGTAGTGTTATATAATACAACTTGCATACCTTCCAGTTCAGTAATATACTTAAGTGAAGCCGTCAGTGATAGAGCACCATAATAGTCGCACTGTTGTACTATCAGAAGTGCTGCAGCTTGTGACCTTTTTAAATTGACGTGTCGAGTGTCTCTGTTTACAGTGCGTTCACCTGCATTATCGTGGGCACAGAGTTTAATGATCAGTCTTCAACGGTCAGCAGTTTAGCGGTGCTAGGAATAGCACTGCCAGTTCATGGCGGTACATTGCAGCCAGTATTCTTGTTCCAGTAGTACACTACGTAGCTATACAAACGCGACGGTTTTGCAAGGATTCTACACTTGATTTTAATATTCAGGTTTTTTTATTTACCAGAATGCTTTGTCAATAAACATGTGCTTCACTGCCCATCCAAAATGTAGTGGTTTAACGTACTTCCAAAGCAATCACAACGCCCGCTTTTTAAAATAATCGGAGATATTTACAGCACTGCCTAGAACAGTATGACTAACATAAACATTGCGAAGTTTCATTACATAATTTCGGATAATAGATGTTAGTGGCTTTCATGCTAATTTGTTTTTTGTGTCTGAAGTGGTCATAACGGTGTTTCCTTACATACCTTGCGCCAGAATTTCCATCTGCTTGTATTGCATTTTAAGAGTGAGATTACCAGTTTCTACAGTGTCACGTTACATCTGTCTAGTGGCAGTTGCATGAAGTGCGTGTGTGTTTGCATGGACGTGGTAAGTGCTCCGCCATGGGCCGACTCGGCGGCTCGAACAAAAGTTCTTCGACCAGTGCGGCCCGACCTCTGTTCCGGGTCCACTACCGCAAGCTCGTGGACGACTGCGGGGAGAGCAAGGATTCGCTCAGTTTCGTGCCCCCCTTGCCGGACTATTTGTCCTACTGCTGCTGTCAGTGTGGCCACACGCAGAAACTCAAGGTATGACAGGGCTGTAACATCCGCATTGCATGCTGGTGCCACGGGTACAGACGGCTTGGTATTGAAAGGAATGCTTGTTTGTAGAAAATTGTTCTCCTGTCATCTTTTCTCCTCTCGCTCCCACGTTTGGAGCATGGTACTGATTTCTCAGTTTCTTGATCATTTTAAAGACGGCAAGACTTCTTGGACGAGTGATCAGCTCGTCACAAGGCCTCTGCCTAAACACAAGACAATACAAACACAGAAAAACGGGCGCACGCACACACACACACACACACCAAAAGTCCATGCCCTGAGTGGGATTCGAACCCACGATCCCGGCTTCCCAGCGAGCGAAGATAGTACATGCCTCAGATTTCAGGTCATTTACTCTGTTATAATTCTACGGTTTTATCCCCCCCCCAAAAAAAAATGAGGGTCAAAAGAAAATATCCCTGTTAGGCATCCAGTACAGACTATAGAGAACAGCCATAAGACGTGATCCATTTGAGTTCAAGTTCTTTCTACGTCTATTATAAAATAGTGTCGATGGAGGCTCCAGATCCTAAGGCATAAAATTTCTAGAACATTTTAGGATTAAAACAACATTTAAAGGTTCTTAGTGAGGTTTATATTTGGGAGTTGCGTGGTTTGGATAACTGTCTGGAATCGGACATCCTGACTACATCGTGAGTTTGCTTCATCTTGCCAGTACTTTCTCTCGTTCATCACGACAGAAGAATGTGGGACACGTAACGAATCCTACTTTACTGATAACGACCAGTGACCTCCTCTGGACGTTAATTATGCGAAACATACGTACACTCAAACGATGCATGCATGTATGTGTGTTAATAAAACATTTAAACACATATCAAATGCTTTAGTGTAATAGTAGATATGTTAAAAACTAAATCTTTCATTCAATAGCAACTTGTCCATTATAATAATTATAATATGGTTCCGAGTAGTTATTCGAAATATAGGGCGCATGTTGCTCAGCAGTGTAGTCTGTATGTCGGGATGAAGTCACGAGTACAGGGCAGAGTCTGGCTCGCGAGTCCGGCTCGGCGAGGACCCGGGCTCGGATTAATTTCGCCACACACGTATGAGCGTGGCGATCCACACACGGACGAGTTTGGCTCATGGGAACCCAAGCCGAGTCGGACTCGCCAGGAAAACTCCGGTTGTCAAGTATATAGTCCGTCCACTTCACTTATCGCGGCATGAACGCTCCCGAATATTAGCTTATACACAGCCGTAAAATAATCTGTTAATCACATTTAAATATATTTGGAATATAATTAACATCCGTTGATAACTGAATGATCTTCAGCACCGACATATGTCTCCTCTTTCCTGTTGATTCAAACTCGTCGCTTTAGGAATGTTAAGCTATCAGCTTGTGCTGTGCTGTAGTTCACGTTCTGCGAAGGGTTCTGTACTGCGTACTTATCCCTTGATTCTAGTGTTCCCTAAAGGTTTGGCCTCCTTTAGGACAGATGCCCATTCTTGATTATCTCCCTCTTGCCTCCACCTCTCCACTTGTAGTTCTCGTAGATCATTCTTTGCGTCTTCTAGCAATCTCAAACCTGGGCCTTCCCACATTTTTTCTGCCCTCTGGATCATTGTAAATTATCAGGCCGCGCCATAGTTAGTCGCTGGCTTCCCACCGCGGCGGCCCAGGTTCGATCCCGGGTCTGGTCAAGTGGGATTTGTGGTGGACAAAGTGGCGCTGGGGCAGGTTTTCTCCGAGTACTTCGGTTTCCCCTGCCAATCTTCATTCCACCAATTGCTTCACAATCACCCTCACCTATCATCTGGGGCTGGTACAATAGGCCAGAAGTGGCCGCAGTACAAGGGACTTAGTCCCACCCCACTAGCAATAAAAAAACTCCAGTATATTAGGTGTACTATTCATTGAAGCAAAACAGTCTTGCAATTAAGCCTGACATAATTTTGCTGATGGAACTTTGAAGTGAGATTTTATTTCAGTCCATGTTTTCTGTTTAGCTTTTTTTATTTGCATGTCACTGACGCACAAGCGTGATGACTTTTTCTTCGGGAATTAGAGGCCATAGTTAGGGGCGTTTAACAATGGTCTATAAAAATTAACAAATTAGCGAAACACTCATATCTTATACGGGATATTAACTCTGTCAAGAGTACAGGATGTAGTTCTGCTGTATTGTCTATAGCAACCCTGGCTGCCACGGTTCATGGCAGGTAGACAAGTACAGTCTCTTACAAATATTTCATGCACAGCTTCATTCGTAGTCACACATTTTGATTCCATGTACGATTCGTATGTGGTGTTAGGCACTATTTTTAATTTTGTGAAGGTAGAAAAATAAGTTTCTATACTCGTACATACTCGTAAGTGTTCCAAAACTGCAAGAAAGTTCTAGTTAACTGGTGAACACTAATAATATAAATTAGCACTCTGAACATATTTGAACATTTTATGTACGAAATGCATAAAAATTACCGCATAATGGAGAGACTATGTTTGTTCTTCCACATGTTCTTATGATACTGAACAAATTTCAATAATATTTGGAAATTAACAGAATTTTTCCGTTAAATTTAAACTTTGTTCATGTCGTTCCAATATAATTCCTCCGTTATACCACCCTCGGATCCGACTTTCAGTAGATTTCTCAACAACGGATTCTAGTGCAAAAAATTGTACAGGACAATGGATTTTTTTAATAGTACATACTCGTACTACTTGTATTTAAGAAAATTTTCGACGATCTGTATGCTTAATGGAATAGAAAGAAAAATAATGCATAATTCTATACAGGGATGTATCTGTAATTTAATGGAATAGAAAGAGAAATAATGCATAATTCTATACAGGGATATATCTGTAATTTAATGGAATAGAAATAATGCATAATTCTATACAGGGATGTATCTGTAATTTAATGTAAATTAATGGAATAGAAATAATGCATAATTCTATACAGGGATGTATCTGTAATTTAATGGAATAGAAAGAGAAATAATGCATAATTCTATACAGGGATATATCTGTAATGCGGTTAGTTAACGAACGCTGTTTTTAGGCTGTCCGAAGTAATAGAGTCGTTTCTAGTATCAATCTACTACCGAGGCTAATAAAGTGTTCAAAATGGCAAACAACAGATCTGAACAAATTTTTGACCTCTATTCGAGTACGACCTTGCATTCATGTTTTCGTATTTAACGTGGCTGTCAGCATTCAGACTGTGTAACATCGAATGATGGTATGTTTGTGACTAATGAATTGGAGGGACTTAGAAGGAAGGGTCCTGGCTTAATCGAGGAATTATCCTTGTGTTACCTGGAAGAGCAGAGCAAATCCACGAGAACGCCCAGTCAGGATAGCCGATGGCCTGACCCAAATTCGAAAGATGCACAAATTTACAGCGATACCTGTAAACCACCCTCTTCACTTTTTTTTTATTGCTAGTGGGGTGAGACTAAGTCCCTTGTACTGCGGCCACTTCAGGCCTATTGTACCAGCCCCAGATGATAGGTGGGGGTGATGGTAGAGCAATTGGTGGAATGAAGATTGGCAGGGGACACCGAAGTACCTGCCCCAGCGACACTTTATCCACCACAAATCCCACGTGACCAGATCCGGGATCAAACCCGGGCCGCCTCGATGGGAATCCAACGACTAACCGCTTGAGCTATGGCATGACCGGAAAATCCAATGACCTCAGCGGGACTTGAACCCGCGACTTATCGACTTGTAGCATGGCCCCTAAACCAACTACGCTACCGGGTGCCCCTATGAAGTACTTGAACCGGCATGACATGAACATTGATTTAGTTCCTGGTTCGAGGAGAAGCAACCAGCTTCTTTGTGTTTCTCAAAATGTTTTTGTGTTTCAATAAACAAAAGTCGAAAAACGCCGTCGATGTTTAAGCCCACTGAATTACTGATGCTCGAAACGGATTTATACAAGCTCTATGCTCAGAATTAGGGGGCCCATACACGAACGAGTCTGGCTCGCGAGTCCGGCTCGGCGAACTTGACTCCGGAGCCGGGCTCGGATTAATTTCACCACAAACGCATGAGCTGACTCCCAACTTTGCTACCCATACACGGACGAGTTTGGCTCATTTGAACCCTAACAGAGTCGGACTCGCGAGCCAGACTCAACGTATATGGGCCCCTTTAGACATGGCAGTATGTGAATATCGGGAATTCGTCGCAGAAGCTGCTGGCAGTTCTGCAGTTATAGCTAAACATACTCGTAGATCTGTGTTTGTTTCTTCTGTACTTCCGCTCTCAACGAAAGAAAAGAAGGGTTCTCAAATACGACACACCTACACCGGGTGTGTCGGTGTGTCTATTCCGAATCCCAGTTATGGCTCTTTTATTATCTAGTGACTCTTGCTTATTCAACAACCGTTTTCCAGTTCCATGGATCACATAGCGTCGAATGGTTGAAATGTTGCAAATGGAGTGCCTTGTTTTCTGTACTTATCAACACTTGCCTGGAAGAGTCAGGAAAGTCGTGACTATCCTTAGTCAGAATAGACGGTCTTGTACGGTTGAGACTTGAAGTCGAATGAGAGAGAGAATTCCTAACCACCAAACATCACTGTTCTCTGCAGAGTGGGTCATTGGTGAATTGATAGTAATTCTAACATTAGTTATGCTGTGTACATCGGATATACGTATGTTCAGAATCCACCATGAACACATTTGTTTCCAGAGAAATTAGACATAAGTAAGATGAATTGTGGTTTTAAACCTATATGAACATGGTCTGCAGTTCGGAGGTTATGAATCGACTTACATCTTAACGATGTTGAGAGTGGAGCGCTGAGAACACTTAAGACTCAAAGGCCGCGCTGTAGCTCAAGCGGTTGAATGAATGAATGTGCAAGGGGTGGCCCTTCTCGGCCGTTGCACCGAGACCTATAGTGTTCTATTGTGTTTTTCTCAAGCGGTTAGTCGCTGGCTTCCCACCGCGGCGGCCCGGGTTCGATCCCGGGAGTGGTCAAGTGGGATTAGTGGT